ATGCTCAACACAGGAGCTGCCCCCTGGTGGTCAGTGCACTCCCCCTGTGGGAGCTCAGCCAGAAGCTGGGCCCACAGCTGGCAAGCACAGCAGCGGTGGTGGGAGACTCTCCTCCTCTATGGCAGTGCTAACGATGTCCTGTCCGACTGCCGCCTTAGGCCCACTCCCCCTGGGCTCCCAGACTAAGAGAGGGCACAGGCTAGGCTGAAGGACCCCCCTCCAGCTCACGAATATTGTGCACCGGGCCTCTAGTGTTTATTAAATGCCAAATCTTTGAGAACACAGCTCCCAATGCATATTTCTCCTCATGTCACTTATGTTTCCCCTTTCATTTATATTGTGCCAAAAATTAGAGACTTTTTTCCAGAATCTAAATTCACTTCCACTTCACTATGAGATTGGGCATAAAGTCAGACGTATCTAAGAGTGATGTTTGGAGGCAGCCAAGAGGAAAAGCAGGATGCTGGAGTGAATAGGTCAGAACTCAGCTTCTGAGGGTGGAGGTGCACCAAATCAGAGACCAAAATGTGGAGAATGGAGCTAAGGCATGTCTTGTGAGTGCAGACTGAACGCAGAAAATATGACTCTTCCAATGAACTCTCCTCAGCCTCCAATAGGCACATGGCCGGGGGACAGATGGCTCTAAGAAGGGACCAGTTTCAGTCCAAGGAAACTAGGAGACGGATATGTAAACATAGATTTCTTTTGGAATAAATATTCATTGTGAGTCTCTTGATTTTTAAAATGTATACTTCATAAAGTATAAAGACAATTTTAAGAAAACTGAAGGGAACATAATTTAAATGTCTCCAATTTTCCTCCTAAATTGCACCCTTCTAATAAAAATATGTTATATAGTTATATAATATACATTGTCAGATAAAGGGTAGTCGGGCATGTATCCTTTCCAGTTTTGATAACTGTCAATACCGGAAGGTTCGAGCAACGTCATTTTTTAAATTAAGGACTAAGGTTTATTTGGCATTTCAGAGCACCACCTGCTGGATTAATGAACAACAACAGTCCAGAACAAAAGTGAATCTTCACATTGGCTTTAAAAGAACTGGTCATGGAACCCTATGATGCTCATCCCTTCTCTTTTCTTTCCCTACCCAGTCACGCCTCTCCTGCCTTTATTTACACCCTAAGGCTGTCCATGCCACACCTATCAATATTGCTGAGTCCTCAGAGTGGCTAAGGAGCAGGCTTCTCAGGCCTCATTTAATAAAATCTAGGATGTTTCTAAATATAGAAAGGCAAATACTACTTTTGAAGTTGCAAAGTTCAATTTTCTTCGAGGGACTGTTTCTTTTAGCCCAGGGATGGGTTTGTGGAGGTTTTCTTCGTTTGTTTTACACATTAACAACCATACTAATAGAAAGCTTTCACATTTTATTTGTGAATAATGACTAAAGTTGACTGATTTACAGTATTTGAGCCTGTTGTTTTGATACGGCTTCCCAAAGGCATTTGAGGGGAAAAAATAAGGTTGGTTTAGAGCTACTTTTTTAAAAGTCTCTGATCTCAAATGACCCACAAGTATTATGAAGGAGAGGAGTGGGACAGATAAGGGAATGGTAGAGACTGGGGACCTAGAGATCTGTCTCAAAGGGTATACCTTATTCTGTTCCAGCCAGCTCTTCCGTTTTTTTAAAAAGAAGCCAAAAAAACTTGATTTTCATCAGAGATCTTTAAGTGTTTAAATGTTAGCGAAAAACAAAACAAAACCAAAAAAGACCTGCAGGCCAGAAGTGGCCTATAGGCCAACCTCTGATTAAAAGTTGTGGATACTAAGGCCTTATCAGATGTATCTTTTGAACTTTGTTCTAGGATGATAAAATATGAATAAGTGAGCAGTCTATGGTTAAAATCCACTCCTGTCTCTGATCAAATCACTTTACCATGCCTAAGGACCTCTACCACCCAGTCAGCAAGTCTATGCTATACACCCCCTGTTCCTTGACGATCATGTGACAGGATCATGGATTGTTGAGATGTCCTGGCAATGGCCTTTTATTCCTGTGGCTGCCCATGTGCCTTAAAGAACCCAAGGCTCAGATTTTGGCTACAATAAGAAACAGTTTAGCAGAACTGAGAAAAGCAGCTGTGGGGTTTATGGGCTTGAAATTTGCATTGCATTTCCAAACAGACACATTAATATGTAGTAACTTAAAAAATATATTTATGTTTAAAAAAAACAACACCTTCACTCAAATTTTGACCATCATACCCTACAGTAAAGTCTCCTCACCCATACACCCTACTGGGACAACCAGAGGCAATCTACCTCTGACTTAGGAAAGATGTTGACAGCATTTACACATTTTAAAGAGAAATACATTAGCTTTCTTACTCAGAGTGCTCCGGGAAACAGTGCAGGTTTTATGTTTTGGCCTGGGAAAAACTCATGGAGAACATAGCAATACTATGTAGATAACAAATTTCATGACAAAAAAAGACTTGAAGGATATCATTGTCTGCTTCGTCTGCCATAAAATACCGTAGGTTAGATCATTTAAACAGCAGAAATTTATGTCCTCACAGTTCTGGAGACCAGACGTCCAAGGTCAAGGTGCTGGCTGATTTGGTTCCAGGTGATGGCTCTCCTCCAGGCTTGCAGATGGCCACCTTCTCGCTGTGTCCTCACCTGGCCTCTCCTCAGTGCATGAGTGTGGATGGAGAGAGACTGCACTAGTGACCTCTCTGGCATCTTTTCTTATAAGGACACTAACCTTATCAGATCAGGGCCCCATCCTTATGGCCTCATTCAACTTTACTTCCTAAGGGACCCCATTTCCAAATTCAGCCACACTGGGGGGTTAGGACTTCAAGATATACATTTGCAACAGGAAACCAACATTCAGCCAATAACAAAAGAACTCCACTGTATTCCTTTATCATCCGTAGAATGCCTCTTGAAATTAAAATAATTAAAGCATCTCCTTTTTTTAAAAATTATGAGTATGAATGTTGGGTTTTTTTTTTTATCTTAGCCAAATAACTTTAAACCCCTTTTCCCTGACCTACAGTCCTTTTCTACGCTAATAGGCACACCTGGTGTTTATTTTTATATATTTGCTAGTCTTTCATAATGTTTCAAGTTGGCCTTCTTCCTTTATTGTTAATGAATTTCCAGGTGCTAGCTTTCCATGGAACTTCAGGGCATTACTTATAATGTCAGCACTAGGTATAGCTTTTTCTCAGAATTTGCTTTAGAATTCTGAGACGTCATCAATTTATAATCCCTCCTAGGAGACTGGGCTTCGTAACACTCTACACCTCTCAATTTTTACCTTTATTCTTTGGAGATGAGGTACCTGACTAAACAAATCTGGTTTTAAAGAATAATAACTTGTAATATTTTCAATTATTATGAATTTTTAAAAATGGAATCCCTTTCATTTCTTTCTTGAAAGAACACTGCGAAATGCCCTCAGGTACTGGGCATCAGGCAATGGTCATGCTCCTCCCACTTTCCCTCTGCAAGCCCTGAAGCCTCTGGCTACCCCTGCCAACCTGACAGCTGGCCCGAGGCTGGCATGGCCTCATCAGATGGTTTTTCTCACAGGAATTTGGAAGAGGGACATAGAAAGCCTCCAGCAGCAAAATATGAATGCTGGATTAGAAGTCTTGTCAGCCAAAGGCACCATTTGTGGGCAACTCCAATGAATCATGCCCAAGACAGCAAAGGAAGCCAGTCCTCGGCCAGCAAGAGGAATGGAACACGTGTGCAGAGCGAAGCAGAGACAAGGGGCCATGCAGCCGAGAAAGACCTGCTCACAGTTCCCAGTTCCCATCCTTCTGAGCCTTCACTGTGCATCATAGTGGATGCAGAGCGAAGCCAGCTCTTCACTGTTTTAAAATATAGTATATTAATAGAAAGTCTGAGGTATAGTGAGCTCAATGGATCAGGAGACATAAACGAGCTATCAGAATACTGCGATACAAAACCAAAAATAAATGAAATTAAAAAATCAATTGAGCTGCTTTTAAGCTTTCTGGCTCTCAGCTTCTTGGTGATTATTGCCCTTGTTTTTTTAAAATGTTCCCACATCTTATCTTACAGTTTAGTTTAATTTGTGCACAATATTTGACTGGTCTGAAATCATTTGTGAATCTCATGTAAATTAAAAGCATGAAGATGTACTTGCCTCATTTGATGCATTTGTTTTATAAAATCATAAAATGAACAGACTTCTGAACTACATACATGTGCACATGTGCAAACACACACACACACACAACATGCTACTGGTTTCTGACAGATGACTGCACTGCCTGATTTGGTTGTATTTCAGGAATAGACAGAGCAGTACAAGAGCATAAGGCAGTGGTTCTCAACCTTCTGGCCCTTTAAATACAGTTCCTCATGTTGTGACCCAACCATGAAATTATTTTCGTTGCTATTTCATAACTGTAATGTTGCTACTGTTATGAATCATAATGTAAATACCTGATATGCAGGATGGTCTTAGGTGACCCCTGTGAAAGGGTCGTTCGACCGCCAAAGGGGTTGGGATCCACAGATTGAGAACCGCTGGCATAAGAGATCCAGAAAAAGATGCAAACTGGTAGGTTTTACATAACCATTTTACTATTTCACCTATGCTAATCATTCAAGCATTCATTTGTTCAACACATATTATTGAACATGTATTAAGTCTCAGACACTGTTCTGGGTATCCTGATAAAAACAAAGATTTAAAAATCTGTCTTATTTCATCTACAACATGGAGGAATGTACTATTATGTCCATCTTATAGATGAAAAACTGAGGCTAGAAGAGGTGTATTAACTTGCCCAACACATAACTAATAAGTGGTAACACTGGGATTCAGATCCAGGTCTGCATGCCTTCAAGGCCCATGTCCTTTCCACACACCCTATTGGCTTTCACCACCATAGACATTTATAGATTATCTTGAATTTCAAATAAGAAATATCAAATATCAGTTACTTTCCTATAAAATTGCAAAAATAATATACAGGGAAATGCATACCCAAGAAAGCTGCATGTTTCTTGATATTGTTCTTGTACTCTCTGTGCAAGAATACAGTAGAAATCCTAAAAACGAAGTAAAAAAATAATGACTCTCTCTCTACATACACACATACATATATAAAAATACATTCATATATGAAAAATTATCCACCCACATATATATGAAGCAACTTTGGAAAATCATTTACTCTATTTTTCCCCTGTCAAGTCACATGATATTAATTTTTTAAATCCTATACACCTCTGATTTATAAAATCAGATTTGTTCAATAAATAGTTATTTAGTAAATGAAATAAATTTCAACAGCAGCAATATTTTTAAAGCATTTTCATTTTCACTTAAAAACAAATTAACTGTGTGGTAGTTTTAGGAATCCTTAATCAAAAAAATAAAATTTTTCTTATTTTTTTCTTAATTTTTAAATTGTTTCATTTTTATTACATAAACCATGATGATATTATTAACTGTCCTTCAAACAATCTATTCTATTTCATAGATGATAATTTTCAATAGTTTGCATAATACTATATGAAAAGATAATGGAGTACAAATGTATAAAGTAATTTTTTTAAAAGGCAATAGTCAGTTTGACCATGTCCCCTAACACTAATATAAAACCAATGTGTGCACTGAAGGTAAAGAAAGGGTAAAAATAAATACACTGGGATGTGTCTATGTCAGTTAAAACGCAAACTACTCCATCCTGACAAAAACAGAGGCAGAGAAGACAGAAGATAGCGAACCCTATGCTGGCTCTTCAAGGGTCTGCCCAGAAATGCACCCAAGTCTACTCACATGCTATTGGCCAAAGCAAGTCACATGATCAAGCCTGGCATCAATAGGGTGGGGATGAATCATTCTTGCACTGGAAGAGACAGTCTTCCAATAGTCCTGACAGTACCCTACAGCTAGGACTATGGTTTACAAAACAGACTCATCTGCATCATCTCATTTGATTCTATTAACAACTCTCAGGGCAAAATGGGGGTTGCTGTGGGACATTTCTGTAGAACTAACTCATCAGTGTTAATTGCTTCTGCTATTTCTGCTTTTCCACATCAGCCAGTCAGACTGGCAGCAAAAGGTGGGACAAGCCATGCCAAGGCCCCTTCCAAGCTGCTCTCAAGCCCACCAGCTTCACCACCCTAGTTCCTGCCTTCGGAGGGCTCCCACTTCCTTGTACTCCCCTATAGTCCCAGGAATGGAGCAGGTGGCCAGAGAGGAGATGACTGGCTGTAGTGACATAAGCCTGGTTACCTGATCCGAGGGCACGGAGCTATGCAAGACTGCAGCTGCGTCCCTGGACAGTGATAGGAATGTTACATAAGGAGAGGCGAGTGCCTGCTCCAGGTGAACCCTGGATGGATAAATGCTAATAAATAGCATGAGCTTCCTAGTTGATAAAATCAGCCAGGGCTTTCGGGAGGTTAGGGCCCTTTGATCTCCAACAGGGACCCAGGATGGCTTCACAGATTGTTCCTGATCCAGATGCCAATGATGAGTTCAGTATAAAGCATTTATTATAGTGTCTGACTTGTCGAATTATGTACCGACTGTTTTGTTAATGTGCTTCACCCTGTGCAGGAGACCACACTCCCTGGGGCCTGGGCCTACTGGAAAGCTGCCACCAGGAAAGTGGTTCTTGCATGCTCTCCCTAAGCCGCATGGTAAGGAAGCCGCATGGCTTCTCCCTCTCTTTCCTCCTTCTCTCAGACGCAAAGGCGCAAGGCCCTGAATTCCCTCCACTGGTCCCTTTCATCCATGAACCTGGGGCTGGAGTGCCTTCTGGGCCAACCCAACCCCAGACATGCACTTTACACCTGACCTTCCACCTTCACAAACCCTGCTCCTCCAGAGTCTCGGAATACCCCACAGGTTGCCTGGGCTGCATGAGGCAAATGAGCCCCCAGCCGCTGAACACTGATACATTTGCAATGTGAATAAAGAAAAACAAATTAGCTTATACTAGTAAATGCTTAGAATATAACATCTACTACATCAAGAAGCTCACAAAATCCAAGTAATCTCAACTCTCAGTTCTAAAGTTCCATTAAACTTGTTTATCCTCATAGTGTTCTACCCCCTGCCCATTATTCCTATTGAGCAAATGTACAGCAAATTAATTTGTTTGTCATCTTTTGGCAGGTTTCATAGTATCAGAGGAAAATAAAAGTGTTTTATTGATTCAACAGTGAATCTGAAATGCTTTCAGATCTATCCTAAAGTCAATGAATGCTCTAATGATCATCAAAAATAAAATAAAGGGCTAAAACATGAAGAAAGACGAGGATTAGATGTCACGTTACTGGAATATTCTGGAAAGCAAACTTTAGTGCTAAAGCTACCAATAAATTTATAGCATAGTGTAATGTGGTGTAAACAGTCCTAGAGTGGGAAGGAATTTGTTGTGTTCAAGCAGCGGTTCTCAACCTGTGGGTCGCGACCCCTTTGAGGGTCGAATGACCCTTTCACAGGGGTCGCCTAAGACCATCAGAAAACACATATTGAATATATAATTACATACTGTTTTTGTGATTAATCACTATGCTTTAATTATGTTCAATTTGTAACAATGAACATACATCCTGCATATCCGATATTTACATTATGATTCATAACAGTAGCAAAATTACAGTTATGAAGTAGCAACGAAAATAATTTTATGGTTGGGGGTCACCACAACATGAGGACCTGTATTAAAGGGTCGCAACATTAGGAAGGTTGAGAACCACTGTGTTCAAAGAACAGAGAAAAGGCCCCATATAGCTAGAGCATCGTGGATAAGGAGAAACAGCTGTGAAATGTCAGAGAGTGGTATGGTAAATTAAATTATCAGCCTTAATCCTACCCCCCCCCTCCGCCACACACACATGCATATACACACATCCATGGCCTTTGACATACCACTTTGCAATTCCTCTCACAAAAGAAGAAATATATTTCCTTACTCCTGGACTCTGGCTTTGCTGTGAACTTTTATTTGGTCAATGAGATGTCAGCAGATATGACACAACTGTGTTCAAAAGCTTAGGTATGCCCTCTGGTGCTCACCCATTGCCTGTTGGTAACTGGTCCTTTGAGGAGAATGAGCACCTGGAGCAGAAGGGCCCCAAGGTCACCTGTAGTGTGAAGCAGAGCTGCCAGTCTGCAAAGCCTACATCAGGCAGCGGCAGCCAACTGCAGGCATGGGAGTAAGCCAGCCGACTAGCAGATCCAGGAGGAAAGGAGTTGTTTTAAGCCAGAAATTTTAGGGTAGCTTATTCCTCAGTATCTCTGTGGCAATATCTAACCAATACTGATCTTTTTTTTTTTAATACATTTTATTGATTTTTTTACAGAGAGGAAGGGAGAGGGATAGAGAGTTAGAAACATCGATCAGCTGCCTCCTACACACTTCCCACTGGGTATGTGCCCGCAACTAAGGTACATGCCCTTGACCGGAATCGAACCTGGGACCTTTCAGTCCGCAGGCCGACGCTCTATCCACTGAGCCAAACCGGCCAGGGCTACTGATCTTTTTATGCCATAAAAGAGTGTGTAATTGGAAAAAGAAAATATATTACATAACATACATGATTGTGTGTGTGTGTGTGTGTGTGTGTGTGTGTGTGTAGCGAGGGGAAAAGTGCACACAAGAAAAAGGAAGTTATATATGATAGATACTTTTTTAGGGGTTATTTCTTGAGAGTAGAAATAGTGAATGTTCCATTTTTAAGTTTCTGCAGTCTTTACATCTTTTTCACAGTGTTCCAGTGAGCACAGGGCAATGAGGGATAAATAAGTAAAGTTCTATTTATCACAGTCAGCAGAGAATCTCAAAGGTCAGTCAAAGGGTATTGAAGTTCCTTAGATGAATCCTGTTTGACATTTAAGCGTGTCTGAAACCTCACTATTGTACTGACTAGTGTACCTACATTTTCTGTTTTCCAAGTAAAACTGCATTTGTAGCAAGGTGTCCTGTGTCCCAGCTAGACTGTGGTTTGCAGAATTGGTGACCTAGTGATCCTTATAGGATTCAAGCAATGTGAGAACTGATCATCAAAGAGGATCATATTTATGACTGAGGAAGAAACAGCTCTTTTCTGGCAAGGGTGCCCAGAAGAGGGAAGACAAGGAGATTAACGAGATGGGATAGAATCTGTCCCCTTCACAGTCCAAGGCTCTGGTTTTTAATCATGATGAGGGAAGGTTTAACCATGAAACCGAAGGGCCAGAGAAGAAGACCACCCCATCCCACAGTAGACCCACCGTATAGAACGGGCACTGTGCCCAGAGACATCCCCTGACCAGCATAAGGAGCCTGGTGAGGAGGCAAGAACAAGAGTTTGAGTGGATACGTTTCTGAGGACAAGCACACAGTACCTTGGGGATGCCTGAAATGAGAGGACCATTCCCAGGAGGGGCCAAGATGTACCGTGATTTGGGCAATAATGTCATTAGAATTGCATTTGCACTGGGAGGGGTGATGTGGGGCTCACATGGACACCATCAAACAAGGCGCCAGGAGTTAGTCAGCCTGTCCTAGAGCAAAGGTCCACATCTCCTTCCCTGCTGAGGGGTCTATTATATATTCCATGTCGATTATATTTCCATGTTTTTTGTCCCTTAGAAAAATATGATCTATGGGAACCTCTTTAACCATTGCTAAATGTAGGGCCGGCTATAGGGTTAAGCCTCGGACTGACCTGTTGGCAAAGCCACAAACAAGTCCCAGCTTAGAGGGCACAGTCCTCTTAGCATAATTAGGCTTGACCTTATGACGCTCCCTAGATCCTTCCTAGGTAGCTAATGCGCTTTGGGTGGTGCAGCAAGTGCGGCCAAAACAAATGAAACTCACAAGAACATTGTAACTATAGTGACCACTACCTTGTTTACCTCTGGCTATAAAATAAAGGCGCAGCTTGCCTCTGGATCTCTCTCTGGGCCTCAGCCAGGCACAGGAAGATCCACCCCAGCTTATTCTCTGTCATTTCTTCATCCTTCACCGCCCTCACTCAGGCTAGTGAACCCTTGGCTGAGCTGGCTCGGCACCGCTAAAGACTGCCAAAATACTTGGCTTCTC